TACAACGTTATAATTTTTTCATCATATTCTTCACATACAAGTAGTTCGTTATCATATTCTTTTTCATCAATTATGAGAGCATCGATCTTTGAGTCAAGAGTTTTAAGTTTCTCATGGTATTCAATTAACAATTCATATGATGAATTTAGATCTTCTACATGTTCTTTACTTAATGCTTCCGATAATAATTTCTCAAGTTTATTTAGAAGTGTAGTAACTTTACTACGTACAATAGCACGTTTCTTTTTCTCTTTTGCTAAATCATCCATTATGTTTCGTTTTCAAATATCGATACCAAGAACAAATAATCAAATTTCTTACCTTTCAAAAGGTAATTCCCCTTGTCGCGGGTTTCAGACACCAGAAAAATGTATGGTGTCTCTCTTCATGAGTCATAAATTCAAAGATCGTTTCGTTTCAGGAGTCAAGGTTGGGAGAGCATTAGAATTTCAAAGCAAAACTTCAAGATTTCTTAGAACATAGAAATAACATTTATTAACGATAAACTTATATTACTTATATTACTTCCGCCTATAGCGGCCATGAAACATAATCAAGCATCAAATAAATATGACATGCGTCATTGTTCATGTTCAAGCGTCAAGTGATATATTTTTCATCGGCGCGCATCAAGAGCGCCACCTATCTACCAAAAAGACGGAACACGATCCAACGAACATAGGTTAAATCCTTTATAAAGGATCTGTTGGGATCTTGTCGGAACAACAGCGGAAATTTTCCGAAAAATGCAAGGTAACACCCGAATAATGTGCAGCGAAGTATCAGGGCGCTTCAGTTAGGCAGTAAAATGAAACAATAAGTGACACGAATTAGCCTGCATATGTATATAAAATTGCAGAAGGCAAGTAACATGGGACTTGTTGACGATCGATTGCTTCAGCTCTTATGAACACATTTTGTTCCTCAAGATATGGCCAACATACATAGGTCAAATCCTTTGTACAGGAGCCTGTTGGGATCCTATCGGAACAACAGCAGCAATTGCCCGAAATTTTGCAATATAACACCCGAATAATGTGCAACGAAATATCAAGTCTCTTGAGTTAGTTAGTAAAATGAAACACAAATTGACCCTAATTCGCCAACATAGGCACATCAAATTCCAGGAAGCAAGTAGCATGGGACTTGCTGATGATATACTGCTTCAGATCTTACGGATACATGTCGTTCCCGAAGATGTGACCAGCAAACATTAGTGAAATTCTTTGTACGGTAGCTTTTGGGATCCTAACGGAACAGCAGCAGCAATTGCCCGAAATACAATATAACACCCGAATAATGTGCAAGAAAATATCAAGTCTCTTGAGTTAGTCAGTAAAATGAAACACAAATTGACCCGAATTCGCCAACATATGCACATCAAGTAACATTCCAGAAGGCAGGTAACATGGAACTGCTGACGATAGATTGCTTTAGACCTTACGTGTACATTCGTTCCCCAAGATCTGACCAACAAACATGGGTCAAATCTTTTGTACAAGAGCTGTTCGGATCCTATCGAAACAATAGCAGCAATTACCCGTAAATGCACAATAACACCCGAATAATATGCTACAAAGTATCAGGGTACTTAAATTTAGCCAGTGCAGTGGCACGAATTCGTCAGCATATGTACTTCAAATTCCAGAAAGCAAGTAACATGGGACTTGCTGATGATAGATTAGTTCAAATCTTATAGGTACATTTCTTCCACAAGATATGGCTGCATGCACGGTGTTATTACATACAACGAATTTTGCATTTTCATAAAAATATTCTTTTTCTTTTTTTACTGCTCTGATGAAAGTTAAATGTTATAACTTTTCTATCATTATAATCAAGCGTAGGTGAGCCTAAGGTTAGACACATACATTATGCTTTCCCTTATAGGATTTAGAAAAGAATTAGCACAGCGTTTTCTCTTCTTTCACTAACCTCAAACGTTTGGTTCCGTGTAGAAACTTCTGAAAAGGGGAACTTTTTTTTTGACCTAACTCTAGTGGAACGAGTGTCCGGGGAGAAAAAATATCAAAACATTAGTTTGAAATGTATACAGTGATCTGTTTAGGGAAAATTAGAGGAAGCAATCCGTTGAAAGAAAGAGAAAAAAAGAAATCAGAATATAAGAAAGATTTTCCTTCTAAAATAGATCATCTTTTACCCCGAAGCCACAAAAGTTCGAATACTCAAGACCTAAATCTATATAATGCGGCAGATCCACGATGCGATGAGCAGCGCCATGTTTGAAATCGAATACAGAGTTAAGTTGAGTGAACTGGATTGAGGTTCGACCTTCTTCAAGGTTGTTTTACGTCGGCTTTACTGCCGACAGGGGAAAAAGAAAACGTTCCCGCACACGTGCTGTGAATCAGTTTAACTGGATTATTTATTCGCAGTCGTATTATTCAATAAGGAAAGTAAATATCGAGTTCGTATTTTGAGGTTTATTTTGTTCCAAATAAGTGGATAGCTATTCTTAAATTCAATGAAAGGAAGGGTTGTTGGTTCAAAGTTGCACTTTAAAATCCATTAACTCGTATTTCTGCCCTCCAGACTTAAATCTGCATGGAAATTTCCTTATCTGTAATATATACCGAACATTTGATACAATCACTGCAGCATTTAGCAAATAAAGGGTCTCTTTCTACTATTCACCGGTTCTGTGAAAAGCCATTAAGGAAGAATAATTTTTTAAGGCCTGAAAAGAGATTACTTGAAAAATGATTTGGGGCATTACTGTTACAGCTTTTTTAAGAAAGAAAAAAATTAACACATAATTTAAAAAGTCAGTTTTTGAGCTAATTACCTATCATGAAATTATCCCAGTTTTACTTTTTTAAGCAAATAAAGTATCAATCTGTTAAAGCACCAGAAAAATAGAAGTTCTGAATACTCTTTAAGTAAGGGTAGATAATTTTTTATAACAACATGAGCGAAGATTCTCTGTTTTGGGAAGAACATACTTTGGCAGGCAGCCGGGAGGTACTATTGCTTTTTGGGGTGCTCAGCAGGCTACTCTGATGAGATTCCTAAGTGGACACCTGAAGTGCCTTAGATCTGATCACGGAAACAAGATCTATCTCATCTATAGGAAATGTAATGCTGATCGTTTCACTTCTGGACATCTTCTCATCTCATCTGTTTGGGACTTATAAAAGTGGACTTATTGAAAAGACCTACCTGCATATTAGAAATATCCAAAGTCTCTTGGATTCATGGATCTGGTCTAGCCCAATGGCTAACCTCTTGGGATCAGTAACAACAACAACACCAACAATACATACTTGCATAAATCTAAAGTCTCCTACAGCAGACTAGCTCCCATTTTCCCTCGACAGTAAAAAAAAAAGAAAGAAAAACGAAACCATTCGTGAAAACAACATATTATAATGCTGGGGGTAAGCAAAATAGAATACAGAGAGAAAAAACAAGGCTTAGTGATAAAGTCTCGAAAAGGGAAATCTGTTTCCAGCAAAATAATTTACAAGGAAAATGTTTTCGTTAGAAATTAAGTCATATCTTAATTAACCCGTATACAACACTGAAAATAAGCGTCTATGCATCTATTTCTTTCAATGTATTTTTTGACATCAACATGAAACTAGAAAACGATTTAGTTTGAAAACAAGAAGAAACTAAAGATTGTGGCTTCAGTAATTTGTCGAAGATATGAGGAGACAAACAAATCGGTACTATCAATGTAGCAAAAGAAATTTGGAAAAGTAATAAAAGATGTTCTCCATTATAAAAGAGATTTATACTTTATTCAGCAGTCTTTTCCGGTGCTTGGTTGCTATAAGTGTAACAACGAAATGGCTGCTTAATTTCGAAGATTTCCCAGTCCTTTTGCTTGTCAGGAATGTTGATTTTATATATAAATAAAACCTATTTTGCAAGTTAGCGAAGTTAAGTTTTAATTCGTTGGTCATATGATAGCTACCGTTCATCTTCAACTATTCCAATAAACATTTTAATATCCTTCATAAAACAAAAAATAGGCAAAACTAAAAAACGAAAATGTGCTTATGTCTTGCGTCACATATGTAAATATTCTTTGTTTATTATTTTATCTCGAATTAGATTCTAAATATTATTACGCCCGTGTTAGCGTTGACAAGGTAAAGAATTCCATTTGGTATAAAACTCCTAAGCAGATTCACTATAATTTTGCATATTTGAAAAATTTTGAAAAATTCTTTCTTCTTTTGTTGTACCTTGGAAACTTGAATTCACATAATTTTCAATTGCATCTCCCTATGCCTTTTAAGTAGCAGTGTTTCTTCATACTGCAGCATAAATAAAACAAATAGTATTGACAACTTTACGTTTATTCGAAATCAGATCTGAAACGTTTTGTCAACAGTGTTAATTGGTAATAAAGAATATCAAAATATTAAAATATTAGCAACAGGAGAAATCCTTTGTGTATGAGTCATTCTTATTTTCTAAGTTTAGGTAAATGTATTTGAATTCTTTAAACTTTCTAATGTATATGTACACCCCCCATATATATATATTAATTATATGCCCATTGTTCATTCTTTCCATTAAAGGTTTGCTATGTATTATAGAGAATTTAAAATTCATTAAATTCTTTCCATGATTTTAATGGAGTTTGAATTCTATTTTTAATTGGTTATTTAAAATGGTTATTCTTATTATTAACAGGGAGTCTGGGGTTTTTAAAAGCATACCGAAACATAATGCATTTTAAAAGATTCGTTTATGCGTTTTCTCTGCATGATAAACTATACTGAGAGCGATGTATAAAGAATGAACATAATCATACATGTATTCTTTGCATCATAGTCAAAGGGATATGCAAGGAGAGACTAAATCTGTATTTTTAGATGTTACTTATGCAGGTCCAAGCTTAAAATAGCTAATACCGTAAATTTTACGGTTTACTAACATTAATAATTAGATTAATAACTCATGTTTTACCTATTTAGTATCAAGACTAAGACGTACTTCACACAGATGCAACAAAAGACACATGATTTTACAATATAAATAATACAACAAATTTATTAACAATATATGAATAGTATCCCGCATACATTTCATAGCCCGTAAAGGACCGGAGATTCATACGATGATACATACGCGTGCGCAGTGACTACAATGATGTCACTTCCGCCAATGATTTATTACAAGAAATAGTACCATTCTGGAGGAAAGATGACCAAGCAAATACAATATGTACATTGGAAGAGAATAAAAGATGCATTCAGAATACCACAAACAGTAAAAGTATCTGAGAAGCAAAATTTCCAAAAATGGAGAAATTTAAGATTAGAATTTTTGAATTCTATATACAAAGCGACAGCGTTGCCGACGTATTATAGCATGATTTTGTTCTTGATAGGATAAATTAACTGCACTTTAATTTGAATGCCAACGCTCTAATTAAGCAAACAGTTGCGGTTTCAGTTAAAAAATAGAAATAAAAATCTTTACATAAATATATGGAAGTCATATGAGTTATATCCAATGTATGGATATTACCAATAACCTCATTAAAAACGAAGTGGAAGTGTTTGCTTTTTAGAGCGTTTCACATGATAAAAATTTACAATTTTGTATTTTATAAACATCATTCGCTCTACATGAATTTTAAATTTTGCTTTCTTTAATACAAATAATCTATATAAATCGAGTTTTGTTCAAAATATATTATATGTTTAAATGCTTTGGCAACGCTCAGAAAATTCTAACAGCAGTGAGAATGAGAAATGAAGGAAAGACAACTTTCATTACCATATCTACAACAAAGTCCATGATTCGAGTTGAATACTCATTTTTAAGAAATAGATTTTCTTCCGACTTTTAAGTTAAGTTTTTTTATCAGGCTTTCACCATCCGCCATGTCCACCGCCATATTCATTTCCTCCTCCTCCGCCATATCCGCCATCTCCTCCGTCATCGTGGCCACCGCCATATCCACCGTCTCCACCGCCATATCCGCTATCGCCTCCTCCGTATCCTCCTCCGCCGCCACCTCCGTAGCCTCCGTGTCCACCATCACCACCGCCGTATCCTCCACCACCGCCGTATCCTCCACCACCACCGTATCCGCCTTCGCTTTGTGCTTTAACGTAGACCCTAGAGATAGAAAATATAGGCATGTGAGTTAAAAGTTTTTTTAAATAATTTCCTTATTAATATGCACGTTATAAAACATTACCAGAAAAGTTTTATTTATTTATTTATTTTTTGTTATTTTCAGAAGCTTTACAATAAATTTGCTTTACCATAGACACACTCATCTGAAGAAAAATTATAATTACAGATTTTCAAGTTAAATTCATTCAGTTTTCTCTGATTCACTCTAAATTCACCCTGTTTGAGAAAAATATGATAAGATGCTGCAAATTAAGTTAAATTTCTTTAATAAAATCGAATATTTTGTATTCCGATAGTTTCATTGAAAAATAATGCTTTGTTTCTCTGCTCGATATTAGTAATTGTAGAAAAAGTGCATTCCTTAAATTAGCATATTGAGGCATGAAGAAGGTTACGTAATTGTCTCACTAGAAAAATCATTGTAGGACTTCTGCTCGAATCGTTTTGAACAACATCTGCGTAGCTAATGCTGGTACTTAATGTTTGGAGTTTGAGCACAAAATTTATAAAAAGTTTTGATTTGAAATACTAGTGTCAAATTATGTATTTAAAATTCTAACTGTTGTCACTTATAATATTCCTCTGAAAGCTGAGTGACTTCTTTTATCGTACCTTTATTTTTGATAATCTAACAATGATGTTATAACTAAAAGTGATTCAATACCAATTTTAGATATAAGAACATTTTTCCTCTTGATAGCGGTTTCCAAAGTTTTCTATAAATTTCCAGTCTCATCTGAATGAAAAATGATATGGGAGTCTCGAAGACAGTAAAATTTGCATTTCTAGAGAGGGATCATTAAGTTATATACGTACTTGTTGCTAATAAAAGTCTTAAATTTATAATTTACATGACGAAAAGAAGCAGTATTGCGCATCGAGATAAATTCTATTTATTTTGGTTCACGTCTCAGCTGGGAAGGGAGGGGAAGATGCCAAACACGTATGCACATTTCAACACAGAATCTTCTTCTCTGCGGATATTTAGTTTTCACTTACAGTTGTGAGGTTTGTAACTAGCACAGCCAAAGTTTTAAAATCAGCGCTTGAAATTTGATATCAACTACACCAACGATTATTAACATTGGTTAATAACTGATACGTAATCTGAATGAAATGATTGATAACCATTGTGCTGTTTTAATACAACTTTCTGGAAATATCAGAAGCTGATGCGTATTTTCTGTATTTTAATTATTACTGATATAAAACTTATTTACGATTTAAAAGCTCACGTATCATGTGCAAAATCACTTTGGGCATGTGCAAAATAATATGTGCAGAATCACGTATCAGACACTTTGGGAAATGCTTCTCAAAGCTCAGCTATTCTTTATGCTGCATAATACATAGCGAACACATGCAACATATATGAGTTATGCTGGATGCCTCATGTTATGCTGAATAACTTACGTTTGCAACGCATGCATATAATAGATATGAAAGGAAAAAGCCGTTATTGTTTGAGTAGCGTTGTCAGTTATATTAATTCCTTAAAATGACTTAAATTTTAAGAAAATGGTGAATTGGAGTTCGAATTTTCAATTTTGCTAGTTCATTGAACGATTTCTTGTTTTGTTCAGAAAGGAAATATATTTCGCTATCACATTATGTAATAGGCATCAGGTCATGATTTATGACCTACAAACATTAAGGACGGGTGATCAAATGGGGGAGAAATCATTTGGACAGCTCTATTAAATGGATCTAGACATTCGTAAGTATAAAAAAAATAAGCTTAGAAGAATGGCGATGCCTTGTCTTTCAGACTTGTTCCAGAAGGTCACTCATGCGAATTTTTATTTTCGGGTTTAAATGAACTGTAGTTAAACATTGCGGAACTAGGGGCATTTGCACAGAAGCTGTGGTTCTTTTATTACAGCTGGTTTTGGAACGAGAAAGAATTTCGAAGGTTTAGCTGTGTCATTTTATATTTCAGATTTATGACATAATTAAGAAATCTTTAGTGATATTTAGTATTGCGAGGACGTAGATTTTCCGAAAAGTATTTAATATCAATAATAATTAGTAACTTTATAAGGTATTTTATCTCTCCTTCTAGCATGCCTTCTCCAGCACACTCGGCGCGTATTCGACAGGTACAGGTTCGAGTCCTGTTGAGGACATTGCATATTTTTCACGTCTTTTGCTACAAAAGAATCTAATGGCTCTACAGTGGTGCCTGAACTAAAAGTTGGTTGACAATAATCCGTCACCACCAGGATTTGGCGATTGGGTCTTCTAATCCATAATCCCGCTTTAAAAGGGGGACATATGTACTTAGGTAGGTTGGCTTACGCTAGTTCGGGTATTCTGTTTGGAAGATATTTTCTCTCTCCTTCCAGCATGCCTTCCTGGTGTAATGGTAGCAAACTCGGCTCGTATTCGAGAGGTCCATGATCGAGTCCTGGCGAAGCCATTGCACATTTTCACGTCTTCCTGCTTCAAAATAACTAATGACTCTACAGTTTTGTCATTAAATGATCGAAAGATTCAGGATCACGATGAGAATTTTGAGGATGAGAATTTTTAGATGAAGAGTGGGGAGATCATTGGTAACGCGCAACAAAATATATTCCAGTTTTTAGTCTCAGAGGCAAAATATAATTTATAAAAAGGAATTAACAAAGAAATGAGAATGAAATGAATAAGCTATAAGAGCAATCACTCTTTTTGAACATTCGTTGTCTTTCTAAGTCTTTCGGAAGTTAGAGAAATTTAACTTTAAAAATTGTGAAGAAAACATTTTAATTGTTCAGTGAAACATTAAAAAATTATGTTGATTCCTGTGATTTATATAAGTCATTCTTTAAAAATATGTACTTTAAAAAATGTTTTCTTAATAGACAATTTACATTTCATTTGCTAAACGAAAAAAAAAAAAAAAAAAAAAAAAAAAAAAAAAAAAAAAACCTCTAAGATAATATTTAAAATATAACGTTATAACCAGTAACAGTTACTGTGCATAAAATTACCTAAAAAATTGTATTTAATTTATTTTTTGAATTATTTATTAAAAATTAATTTTAAAATATCTTTGTTTAATTTAAAATTTTACAGTTTTAAAAAAAGTAACTTTGGCTATAAATTTTAGTTCAATTCTGACACACATTAGTTATTTCATTTCTCGATAAGGTAAAAACATTGCTATTTTAGCATTGATTTCAACAATTACGAAAAGGGACTTAACTGCTTATTATACTGACAAAATTGTTTTTATTTCAGGTCTTTGCTTAAGCGAAACAACTCTTACAAATAAAAACCGTAATCGCATTCCAGAGAATTTTCCCATTGAAGAAATTCACTGTGAATAATTTAAAACTTGTCCATCCTTCGTTCGGAATCTCTGTATGACCTTGTAGGTCATTGTCCAATCCACTAACCCAGTATTTGTTCCACCGAATTAACCTACATTTGGCTTAATATGCGATTAATGGTTGACAGCGAAATCCGAAGAGTGCCATTTTCTGACGAAGCGAACCGTTACTTGATTGCGTCAAAACAAAGAAGCAAACGATACGAAACATCCGCAAAAAAAGAAGCAGTGAATGACATAAACACAGATCTTTTGGAGAACGAAACAATAATACTTTTCACAGCCTAAAATAATTTCCCAATGAAATCTGATGCTATGTTTAGAATTGAAGATTATGGCAGGAACTAATTCACCGTAAATGTCTGATGTTCCTGTAAAAAATAACGGAATTTTATTTGCTGGTAGCATAAATAGCGCAATAAATTCACCAATTGTTAACTCAGAAGTGAAGAAGTTTTTTTTCACAGTTTCTTAAAAGCGAAGAATTACAAAAAGACCATTAAAAGCTCTGAAAACGCTAAGTTTTTTTATCACGCTATCTACCTATGATATTTTTTATCGCGCTACTTAATAAAAACTTATATATTTGGGTATTCATTTAATTAATTATCTATTAATGCAATTGAAACTGGCTCTTTTTGCTTGTCGAAAAAATATCTGTGTCAAAAGGGAAAAGAATATTCAGAGTTGAGGACTTTAAAACAAAATTAGAGTGGCTGTTAATTACATACGTTTTAAGACTCTAAATTTAACTAAACTGCAAATAAATCAAAAAGGTAATAAACTTACGGAACATGGAGAATAAATGGCTTCTTCACAAGTGTCTCTTTGTAGACAGGGACCTTGACTGGTACTGGATAAGGCTTGGGTACTTTGATGATCTTATGTACTGGAACGGGTACGTATTTTGGCACTTTAACATGAACTGGCACTGGCACGGGCTTTGGAACATGGACCGTCTTGTATACAGGTACTGGTTCTGGCTTGTAGACTGGGACTGGAACGCCAACAGGTACATGTTTGGGAACATGAATGATCTTATGTACTGGTACACTCTTGGGGATTGTTATAACTTTGGGAATGGTCTTGTAGACTGGAACCTTTACTGGAACAGGGACATGGTGTGGCACATGCACTGGTTTAGGCACTGGATAATATTTAGGTACAGGTACTGGCTTGGGAATGGCCACTTTATGGTAGACTGGAACATCTTTGTGGATGACGTGAACAATCGGCTCTTTGTAGCCCTGTCCATAATCTCCACCGCCACCACCATATCCTCCACCACCTCCGTATCCACCGCCTCCTCCATACCCACCACCGATGTCACCTCCATGTCCTCCGCCATAGTCTCCTCCGCCTCCATGTCCGCCGAAGTCACCACCTCCTCCATGACCTCCACCATAATCTCCACCACCACCTCCATAACCTCCATCATCTCCGCCATATCCACCCTCATCGCCACCATAGTCTCCTCCTCCATGAATGCCACCGCCGTTTACCCCAAGGAGTAAGGCCAAAGTCACTGCCACTACAGTCAGTGATTTTGCCATGCTTTAGCTGTGAATAGAGTAAAATATTTCATGATTAATTATTTCGATTCTTAAAGTTATTCACAATAAATTAATTTTGATATAGTTTACAAAATCAGGTATTAGGGTTGATACCATTCACCTTATACTTTAAAGTACTTATAGATACTTTCTGAGAAATTTCCTTGCTTGTTTATTATTTAAAAAGCTGTTTTGCAGTCTGATTGGGCGCCGAAGGATTATCGGAAAAAGTGCAATCTATTTGTCACAGAACACATCAGAGTTATTTACTATAATACAAATGACATTACAAAGTAGTTCAACTTAAAATATTTTAAAATTACATTTCTTCCTTTATTTATAACAAACAGAAATCAATCGATTGTAATACTTTTTTAATTAAATAAATATTAATTTTTTGAAACTTGTGAAATGCGCTTAATTAACATCTCATAAATATAAAAGAAATACATGTTCAATACATAATATACTTTATATTTTGAAATATTAGACGAATATCTTAATCTATATATGTGTAGGAGTAAAATTATAGTTTTAATATTTATTTTCATTATCAGCGCATTAGGCAGAATGAGCAATAAGGAACTATTTTATCAAAAACTAAGTAATGGCGAAGTTATTTGGCGATGAAAATACGATAAACGTTAATTTTTCTGGTAATACCTAATGCACATTAAAAGTCGTGGAACATTTAGCACTTGAACCCTAAATGATACCAAAAGCATAAATGTTTGAATGACAGATCTGAAATTTATAAGTCAGCCAACATGATATTAGCCAAGATTATAATTAACATAAACATAAATTTTTTATCATGATATGAAAAATTCACATATTATCCTGTCGACGATAAAATATGCTAATAGAAATTAACAGACTGTAAGCAAATCTTCTTGTCATTCTACATGATTTTTTTACCGTCCTAAATTAAGAAGAATCAAGAATTTTACAGTACAAATAATTTGCTCTTTACAGAAAGTGGACTTTTCACATGCGTTCAAATGTAAAACTGGTATGAAACACGAAAGTTTTAATAAATTTTGAAGATCATGCGATGTTTGAGATAAGGATAACTTATTTCTTTAGACTGAAATTTAAGTTTATCCACTTTATAGTTAGACTTCGAAAACTAATTTAAAAAACTAAAGAAGATACTATGAAGCGGCATTTGGTATTATCCAACAAAGCAAATATTTCATAACTCTAAGGTGAAGGAAACTTAAATCAAGGAGTAAATTCAATCATTAGATTATTTAAGTGGCATTAAATCATTTAGTTATGGAAGTCTTCGTTTATTGAAACAGATGATTTATATATTGGGGCAAAGAGTAGATGTTTTTTAGGGTTAGAAATGAGAGGTTTTTGAAGGAAAAAATGTCTTATATTTATATTATGCATTAAAAAATTATAAATCTATTATTTGAAACCAATCTATTGTATACCAAAGAATCGAAATCTTCAGACACTATGATCAAACAAAGAATTCTACTGCTTTTCAGGCGAGGCTATTGATATATCAGAAAAAGAGAAAAGAATTTAACTTACTATGAAGCTGTGCATTCAATAGGCACAGCTGAAGATCAGGTTTCACAGTCCATGCGCATATATTGCAAAAATAAGTCAGTGAAGGTTACAGTATGTATTAATGCAGATTTAGTTTAGCTGGTACAATGCTGCTCTATGTTTGGTAGGGAATAAAGTTAAAAAATAACGTCATTAATAACATAGTGATAAGACTGGACAATTCGAGTAACTTTCACGGATCTTTTCTGAGCTACAATTTCCTATAAAGTAGCAAGAAAATTTACTCTTATTGAAGAACTTTTCATTTTCTGGTTAATAATGTTTGTCTTGTGTTGGAATTAGTGGATTTGTAAGACATACATGCTATGAATTTTACTACACTTTTAATAACTGCAAGGGAAGTATGTGCATAAAATTATTTAAATTTACACAAAATGAACTAATTTTTTGAAAGCGGTCAGAGGAAAGTTCTGTCCTACTGAAACATATTCTTTTTCTTGCGCAACTTAAGAATGCGTTTCGGAGGAAAATTTTCTCTTTCGGGAAAAGCTGTTTACAAGAAATTTCTGGAGGCGCAGCAATTTTCCCACTCTCTTTCGCGCCTAGAGATCGATCAGGCCGTGAAAACGGGGTTAAGAATAAATCCATTTCAAGAAGAACAATTATCTAGAGATGCCTCCCTGCTGAGTGGAATGAAAGACAAATGTAGTTCATCGTGTTCTTCGAAGCGTTCCCCAATTGCTAATACTTTCAGTGCTTGCTCCACTTTTACATTCGGTCCAGTACTTTTGATAACAATCTCGTGGATGAGTTATTTACTACACTGAATTTGATAACGAATAAATTGATTTTAAAACACTTTTACGTGGGGAAAGCACAATATTTATGATTACGTTTCTTTTTAATATTTTGTTAACTTGCTAAAAGGCTAATAAAATAAAGCTTTCAGTCCATTTCATTTAACATTTCTCCACTTCATTTTTAAAACATCTTTCTATTTTTTCAAAAAATTATTTCCATTTTTATTTATATGCTTATATTTTGATAAAAATCAATAAATAGCTGAATATTAATCAATTAATTTCATTTAAGAACATTTAATAAGGTACAATGTCTTTCATTTCTGAGCATATAATATGCCTATAAAATTATATTGTCACTAAAAAAAGTCTCCTGAATAAACTAAGAACAGATTTTTATGAAGGTTTAGATATTTAAGCATTCAAAGAACGAACTTTCGCTTTCTTTAATTTTAAGTGTTATTTTACATAGGGGCACATATTTAATGTCTTGATTGAGAGAAAGAATTTTTATAATTTAAAACTGAATAAATCAACAGAATCTAACTGAACAAAGAAACAACGAAAACTAGCCTTAAGAATTAAGCAGGAATTAAGAATCCGTAGCGTCAGTTTCCTCGTTTGTTAGATTTTATTGCGTTTAGTTGGCAAGTCATTTTCAGTAGCTCAGCAATTATATACGAAGAGTCAGTTCACTGAATTAAAGTAAAGCATATAATTTCCACAGTAGGGTCGTTTCTTGGAGAGTGATTTAAGAGACTATATCCAGAGATATTGTGACGCTACCCAAGACCGTAGTTAGCCTGCGGAATTCATACGTCTTATCTAAATTATTATCATATTATTTTCTTAATTGATGAAAATAATCTTTTATACTAGACTTATTGTTATTTTCGTAATTATCATTAATGATTTATAAGCAGACACAAAAACAGACACAAACAACATAAGATATATATAACGCTCAGGGAATACTGTTAAAAATGTCGTTTTTTTTAACTCATCTTATCTCTTTATTTTCACAATTTCCCTTCCTTTTCGAATAATAATAGCTATTATTTTCCAATAATTCGTATGCTTTTAGATAAATAATAATACTAAGCATTAAGTTTACATTTTCTTAAAAGTTCTTTCGAAATAAAATAATATTATTTTATGAAGTAAGCCATTTGACATATTTTTAAATTGTTGTTTACTTCTATACTACTTCACTTACTGAGCTTTTTCAGTTTTAATTCTTTTAATAAATAAAAATATGCTGAATATCTTATTTATTAATACGTAAAGTCGAATTTAAAGAAATATTTTAATTCGATCAAAATTCGAAAACTTATTATTTTGTTTTAGAAAAACAGCTCTTTTTTACCTTTCACAGAATGTTATGGAATGCATAGAAGTTTTGCGATAATAAAAGCACTTTCAATTTAAAGTACATTAGTTATAGACTTTCGAAAGTAAGTAATAAATAAATGAATTTACTTAGTCTTTTATTAACTGTTTTTTAGGTTATTACCAGCGTCAGTAATTAACACACTCAAACAATTACAGCAATAATCATACAAAATGTTTTCCCAGCTTTTTAAATTTTTAACTCTGCATTTCCACGTTACATATAAATTTCTTTTCTACACACATTACTTAGCATCTACTGAAACATAAGGAAAACATAAATTTTCTGAACTGAAAACATAAACTGAAACATAAACTTTCTGCACACGTAGAAAAAATGGCTTTAATTTTTAAAATAGAATACAAAAATTTTTGTTTTTGCTTACCAGCAAATTATTTCTTCTGACTTACATAAAAGTTGAAATTAAATTTTACTTAGTTTAAAAATGAAAGTAGGTTCTTAGTATAACCGCAAAGCAAATTTGGAAATTTTGCAAATGCAGAAGAATTTAAGATTTATTACTGCTAACTATAGAACACATTTTAACTGATAGAATATTGTGTTTAAAACTTCGTATGTTTTTTACCAAAACACCAATAGATATTCTTCAGGACTTCACAGTAAGCAAATAATTACCTTTAAAAGTTTATCCATATTTAACTATAAATACACATTTTGGGAAATAACATGTCTGTCTCTTTGAAGTGCTATAAATGTTCGATCAAGAAGCTATATATTTTAAACGCAAATCTAAATTTGAATCTTGATACTTCCCTAATATATATTATTTAGCATATTTTTATACTTCATAACCACATATAACATTATTTTTCTCAGAATCTCGCGAAATACAGTAAATAAAAAAAAAAAATAATCTTCACAGAAAGAAGTATGTCTTGGTAGATTTAAACCGAAAAAGAGGAGAAACTTGGACTTTAAACTTTCTTGTAACAAGCTCCCACTTTTATGAAATGTGGCAAAGATTAAAGTATAATAATATTCTCTCAATTTTTGATTTGAAGTTTAACACTTTCATATACACAGAGTTTGAACCCTGCAAATGGAAACTCCAAGCAGGAGCAATTAATTTTAAGATTTTAGTATCCATAATCGTCAATAGATGGCAGCATTAGAATACACTTCGAGAGCAATTTTCCCTCAGAGCCGTGTTATCTCTTCTCACTTATTCGACATTTCATTTCTTTTAATTCATGAACTCGAAACTGCATATAGATTTCCGAAGCTTTCCTTTTTTGAAACTATTGAATTTGTCACAGTTTTATAAACTGGAAGATTTAGCATGATTTTCCTAACCGTAAGTTTTTACTCTCTACAGACTGTTTTTCTTCTAATAAGGCACAGGAAAAAGTTAAAAAAATATTTACTTGTCCAATATTACTTTTACTTTTGCAAACTTTTACGAGCCACTTTAAGGAAGGTAATATTTTTTCACTTTCCTATGTAACAATTAACTGATTACTTCCGAGTCGTGAAAACGTTTCGAATTTTCCACATCAATAAGCACCACGAAATTTCACTGAAGACTTACCTTAGCAAAAATCCCTGGAAAAGATATAAATGTATTCCTGTGTTGTGATTCTTCAGTGCTCTGCGCTGTGAGTTGGTTCTGCAGCAGTGGTACCTCTCCTTAAATACTGATCCACGGTTTCTAACCCTGACCTATATACCTGCAGACGTTTGTTTCTACTAGCTACCTGTGAGGGAGCCACTGTCCGATCGGAGGTAACTCCGCCCCTCGCGGCTTCGACCCTTTTCCCCCCGATTTCTTTATATCCGCAGAGAGTTCCTCCAATTTTACTTCCTCGATATCAATACATATTTAAGTTGGCCCAGATTTGGACTATTATCGCCACGTATTTGGCGACATTTAGGGTTGCCAGAATAGGAAATGAAAATTGGCAAGTGGAGATACAGTTTCCCGTTTTTCAAGGTGATGTGAAAATCGCCAACTTGGTTTTCACTTTCGTTAATGATTTGCGGATGATGCAAAGTAAACATTTTTCTTTTTTAAATCTTTATTTGTTCAGTGAACTGAATTCCTTCGGTGTCACACACTCGAATCCTCTCTTAAGGATGGAAAGACCAGGAATAGGAAGTGCTCTGGTTTCGGATATTTCACAATTTCTCCTTCTTCCAGTCGGCACTTCGACTGTTAATTCATACTTAGACAGATGAAGCTTGAGTGCTTGGAAAATTTCAATCTCAAGTTTAGTGTTTTACGCTTTGTGTATTAACATGTGAGTAACATTAAACAACAAGCCTATTTCTAATAGAAGTTGATAAGGTATTTTTTCCTCATTGCGTGCCTTCGTGGTGTAACGTTTAGCGCATTCGGAGTGTACATTCGAGGGGTTCAAGTTCGAGTCCCGGAGAAGGCATTGCTCATTTTTCACGATTTCTGCTTCAGAAAAACACCTAATGATTCTACAGTGGTGCCCAAAGTAAAAGGTGTTGGGTGATGATTCTTCTTCACCACCAGTATTTGGCGACTGGTCCCCTAATCTTCAGCTGCCCTTTAAAAGGGGGAGTGCATAAGGTATTTCCTCCTTCTTTTCTGCATGGTTTCGTGGTGTAATGGTTAGCACACTCGGAGCGTATATTCGAGAGATCCAGGTTAGAGTTCCAGAGAAGGTATTGCTCATTTTTCACGATTTCTGCTTAAAAACAAAATCCTAATGACTCTACAAGTTTTAGTTTCAAATTATAAACTAATGTATTTTCTTAATGAAACAAAATTTGCTCATTTATTTTGGATAGAAAAAGCGTAACAGATGAACTACTAAAGGACAATAGATAAACTTCTGAACATATAAACAGGTAATGTTGCATGGGGCACCAGAGTTGTCACTACAGAATCGAACAGGTATTGCCCCAATACACTAACCAACTAGAGTTTGAAAAATTGGAATTGACCATAAGCTTTTTCTCCTAAGGAATACTAGAGTTGTTGTATTTATATATAAGGAGTATAAATACAACATCGGAGTTGTTGTATTTATGTTACGGTGAAACACTGAAATCTGGAGAATGTCGACATCCACGTAGTCGCTTGTCCGAAATATTTTCCAAATACTCTTATTTCTGACTCACACCGGTCAATGTCGACATTCACCATGTACTAATGGTGAATGTTGAACATATAACAATATTATATTTTCTCCGTAATTCAGTCACGAAAAAACGCACTTGAGACTTAAAATAAGAACTTAAGAATATAAGAACTTAAAACACACAATACATTCAAAATAAGAAAGGAAAATAATAGAAGTTAAAAACTTACTGAATTATACAGTACGTTCTAAAGGAGAAAATAAAATAATAGTAATAAAAAACTTACTAAATTATGAGATTCAAATCTTATTTATTGCAACAACTTAAACTAAACTATTATGGCAGTTTTGAATTGTCGACTCCTCTCTTTTCGACCTACACCAGAGCATATCTGTGATTGTCGACATACACCGGTGAGGGTCCGAATGTACAACAATGTAATGCAATATTCGATCTTTCACCGACGTATTTGGTGAATGCCGACCGGTGAAAGTCGACATTCACCAATTTCGGTCTTTCACGGTAACATTTATACATAAGAGGATAATAACATAGAATTAGGCAAAGTTACATAACATGACACAAACTGTCGGGTATACCCATTACAATCTTGGATTACGTTAGTACAATACAGCTGATATTCTGGAGATCATTGCATTGGAATTTTGCATCTTAAGTAAGTAATAAAACACAAGGGATTTAATTTTTCTAATATATTGGAATGTCTGATTTTTGTTACGTGACGACGTTTGTTACAGTTAAGAGTGTACTGAGTGAAGATATTTCAGTCCATAGTTCATGGGTTCAGTTAAGTGCTTTTGGTGTTTTGAAGTATTATGTAAATTTTTGACGTTGCTCGGAATCAATTAGTCCTAGTCATTACTCTTTCTACTTTCTCGTTTTCGGTCCTAAGTTGTGTGTTCGCATAGGTCTAGTCCTAGAGCACTGAGATTTTGGTGTATTTTCATGATTTTTCGATATAGGTGGCGTTGAGATATCACCAGCCTTTTGCAGTTAAGGTTTAGATAGGTGGATTAAAATCATAATGAAAGCGTAAATTTATATTATAAATACTTTTATTGATTTTGAAGCTTTTTGAATTTCAGAAATATATTCAAGACCCAAAAATTATGTAACTTACTTTCAAACTTAAAATATGAAGGGGACTTTTCATCTTTGGCATTTGAAGACCGATACAAAAGACATCAAATTGTTAAGTTTCTATCAGTTCCCTCCATCGGATGACAAGGAATGAACAGAAGCCTTGTGATAGATTACTAGAAATGTGAATAAATTACAAAAATATCAATGCAAAAAGATACAAAATTAATCAAATAGGGCATAATAGAAATAAAAACAAATTTATTCAAAACTTAAAGATATTAAAGTTTTTAGTCCTGTTATTAGCCCCAACGGTGGGTAGCTCAGATGGACTATTAGTCTCAAAACGGCATTTTGTAGCGTTTCGCTATGAACGGTAAATCACTTTTTAAATTGTTGCCACCAAATATTATCACCTTGCGTTATACTTAAAGAAATTAAATAATGAAGAATCTGCATGAATGTAGGTATGTTTTTCGCATTATGAAAAAACGACAGTACCTAGAGCCATCAAAGTTTGAGTAACGTAATCCTCCACCCGAACAGGGTCATCTGAAAGCCTGAATTTTGAATTTCGATTTGGTTTCTTTACCTCTTTCATATTATGTAAAACTGAATTTTCGATTAACAAATTGAACGATTTCAAAGCGAGCAATGGCAACACTGTACGGAGAAAAACACTTTTAGTGCGCGACTGTCTATGGGAAATTCTAAATATACGCTGTTTTTAGATATTTCGTTATATTGATGTTAAATTGAATTCTATGTGGTTTAAGTGCAAAGAACATGATATCTAACAGATAAAGGTAACACGCAAAACTTAAAAAAAAGTTCCTTTGGGCGCAATATATTTGCATTTTATTTTCTTCCCATAACTAAGCCAAATCTCTACTGAATGTTATCGACTATAAAATCGTGAGGCCTTTACGCTGCCTAGCTGAAATAATGTTTGTATTAGAATGGAAGGAGAGTATAGATTGCATAGTTATGCAACGTTCAACCTAGACATACATGTACATTTTTTGCAAAACAAAGTTTTAAAGATAATTAAATACCCAATATTTTAAATAAATTTACTTTTCTGTGCCTTAATTCTAATCCACAGACTTATAAAATTAAAGTTTGGGAGAACGTTCTTTAAAAATAAGAACTAAATTTTTAATTTTTGGAGGCACAAATTCTCGAAAAAAATTTCTCTTTTACTGAGCACAGTTTCATGGCAAATTATACTAATACGTATACGACTATATATTTAATAAAGTATACAAAGTAAAAATACAATAAAACAATTTCAGCAGAAAAATATTATATATATATATATATAGTGGAAAATTATTTTAGTAAAAAAATATACATAATATTTAGAAAAATCGTAATTAACACAGTTTGCTATTAAAATACAGTTGTTTATGTTTCCACAGTAAATATTTTATACAAATTGAATATGCTACACACGTCAGAAAAGTACTTTAAAAACGCTTATGTTGACGCAAGAATTTTTGGTCAAGGAATGTGTCTTTGCATGTTGGTCTTTTATTACTTAAATTGTATTTGCTGCTCTGCCGTTTATGTGATACCTTTATATTTTCGCTCTGCATTATACAGCAGTACTTTTAATAATTTAAAGATATTTTCATTTACATCTTTTTAAGCATTTTGAAAGAAACACCTTTGAGGAGTTTATTGTTTTAAATTCTTGGAATTTTATGCCCTAGCAAAGCAGAAATATATTTGGGCGAAATATTTGTTACAAACTTGTTATAAGAAAACGATACAGCGGAATAAATGCACAGCTACATGGTGAATAATTAAGACTTTTATTTGTTAAATTATTAAACGAGATTCCAAGTAGCATTAACCTGTCATGCAACAATATTACATCACATTTCTTTTGTTATTTGTTTTTACTTTTTTGAACAGTTCATTTAGTTCTCCATCATTGATTTCTGGGAGAGTATTTCCTAAACGAGTAGGCCTTAACTTAAGACGTAATTACTTAACTTAAGACTGTTTCGAGTGTCAAACTGAAACCTGCATTGCAAGTTCTTTTTAATACTACATTTGTTTTAACTTAGGATTTTTTTTGTTTTGTTTTAGTAATTAGGAATTGAATTAGGAAACAGGAAAAAGGAGCAATGCCTTCGCCGGGACTCGAACTTGGACCTCTCGAATACGTGCCGAGTGTGCTACCGTTACACAACGAAGGCATGCAGAGGTGATAATACCTCATATACTCCCCCTTTTTAAGGGGTGACTGAGGATTAGGGGACCCAGTCGCCAAATCCTGGTTGCAAAGAATCATCATCCACCACCTTTTAGTTTGGACTCCACTGTAAAGACATTAGAATTATTATTTTGAAGCAGGAGAGGAGAAAAATGTGCAGTTCCCACGCCAGGCCTCGAAAATGGACCTGTCGAATACGCGCCGAGTGTGCTACCATTACACCACGAAGGCATACAGAAAGGAGGGAGAAAATACCTTAAAACTTTGTGTAACTTCAGCAATAACACTGAAAAATTATCTGTAAT